TGACGCGAGTGCTCACGCGTATAGGTCACTTCCTCGCGTCCGCCACGGACGTTCGTGCTGCTGCTGCTGCCACCGCACTTGGCGGAAGGCTTTTCTCGTCTTGAAAGGGTGATGCAAGGAGTCAAGTGACTCAGACTGTCAATTGCGACTATCGGATGCTTTGTATTGCAGTGACTCCGACTTGGCGGTGCAAGCCGAGTTTGTACCTGCTCGGCTGGCCCCACAACCCATGCGATGGTTGTCATCTGGACGGATCGAAGATCAGCGCTATCCTCTCTTCCACCTTCAACACCCGCGTACTCAGTTGCTTGCTTTAGCTTCCAACGCACATCCCTTTCTTCACACCAGATAGCGTCACCTGCTACACTCATACAACTCCTACTACGACGTCAAGCGATCCTGCTCGCTGTTGGCCGGCCGCGGCTACGCTCAAGACTGCTGCTCCTGTCAATTTAGGAGGCTTTCGCGCCCCAAAAGGTGGTGCTCATTCACGGCGTATCTGCCAAGACGTCGGATCGCCCTTGATAAGCCTCTGCTAGGCCTTGTGAGCCTCCTTTGTCGCTATGCCAACCACACGCGCCCTCAGCGCCCGGCAGCAGTCTGGAGCAGCCGGCACCGCGGCGGACAGCGATGACATTGCCAACATCAAGGCGATGCACGCCAAGACCGCGAGCGGACTGTCCTCGACTGAGAGCGGCGAGGCTTCACAAAGGGCGACACTCAGTCTGGCAAGAGTGCCGCGTCTGTTCAGGCGCACGTCCTCGGCATCCAGCACGAGCAGCTGCTCCCCCGCTCCTCGCAGTTTTCAACGTACATGTTCATCCCCCATCACGCTTCAAAGCCCATCCGCACTCGAAGGCTTCGACTACATCTCTTCCCGATCCCGCGCATCCGCACCGCGTTCTTCCTACGGCGGAAGCTCCACCTCAAGCCAAACATCGTCCAAGGCCTCGACGCGTCCGACGAACGGATTCAGACGCGTCAAATCCTCTGCCAGCCTGTGCAGCAACTCGCAGTCCAACAGCCAAGCCAGCGGAGGTGAAGAGGACGATTCAGACGAAGAGAGGAGATATAACAGACGATCGTCGAGGTTGGGTGGATGCGGTCGCTCGTCGGAAACCAGAACGTCGCGGGATGATACGAACAAGGAGAACATTGCGCCTTTCAGAAGAGTCGAACAGCTCACTCCGCGTCAACGCATGAACGAAGATCGGGATGCTCAGGAAGAGGCTGTTGCTCGCCGGACGCGCTCCACCGCTGCTACGCCTATGCGCGGTCGACACTCTTCGCCTGCCTCTAGCATTCATTCGGGATCCAGCGAAGGTGAGTACGGCGGCGAAGGCAGAGCTGTGATCCTGTGCTTCGAGGGTGTTGCGAGTCTGCAACAGTCGTGAGGCATCTACACGTCCGCCTACGCCTCGCCATCGCGTGCGCCGGCAATCGCAATCTGACCATTAGTGCACATCTTTCGTTGCAGCTCGCTCCTCTCACTCTCTGTCTCAAAGCCGTCTCCACGTTGATCTAGGTAATGCCGATACTCCACGACGACCGACGACCACTCGCAAGCGTTCACGCATGGCAAGGGACGATGAAAGTGAACAAGGCGAAGCCGACGTGCGCTCGCCGCGCTCCTCTTTGGCACGACTTCGTCTCCAGAGAACGCCATCCTGCGCTTCGGTATCTTCCCTTGCCGAAGTCACCGATGAGGCCGAGAGCTACTTCTCGAGTCAGAATACCAATGTGAGCTCTGTCTTCGATGTCGGTATGGCTTCTACCCCAGATGGCGCGGCCTCGGACGATGACGAAGACGACGCAGAAAGTCAGCCAACCTCTCGCGCACCGTCGCCGGTGTCCGACTTTGCTTGCGTGCCGATGGACGCAGAATCTGCTTTGGACGAGACGTCGCTAATGCACGACAGTGAAGCGGTCCACGACGAAGCCAACGCGCAAGAGCACCATTTCAGCAATGTTTACGCGCACGCTCGCGCTCTGCTGCGCTGCAATGCTGGCACCGACGCTGTCGATGAAGGCGTCAACGCCGCCGTCGACCAGCAAGTCATAGGCCGCGACAAGGAGCGCAAAGCTCTGCAGCGCTTCCTGCACTCCCGATTCGATCTATACAGGCACATGGAACACAGCGCTACACCAGCAGGCGAAGGTGATCATGGTTGCGAACTGGACGGAGCGCAAGACTCTGGAGCGCTGTACGTTTGCGGGATGCCAGGCACCGGAAAGACGGCACTTCTTCGTAGTACCCTTGCTCAGCTTCGTGAAGCAGATCTAGCAACGACTTCGCCATCCATCGCCTTTGTCAACTGCATGACTGTTGAGCATCCTCGCGACATCTTTGCCAAGGTACTCGAAGCGATGGGTGTAGTTTTCGACCGTCAGAACGCCGAGAAGACGCTGGACGCTATTGCCAGAGACTCGAGGCAGAGAACCTTGATCGTGCTGGACGAGATCGACCATCTGCTAGGCTCACGTACCCACCAGAACATTCTGTATCGGCTGTTCTCCTGGGCGACCGGCTCTACACCTGGCAAGGATGGAACAGGTACATGCGCTCTCATTGGCATTGCCAATTCTCTGGACCTCACCGAGCGCTTCGTACCGCTGTTGGCCAGCAAAGGCGCAGAGCCCGCGCTGCTTCACTTCCGACCGTTCGAAGCTGCCGAGATTGGGTCCGTGATCCGCGCACGCTTAGCGGCGCTTCTTCCTTGTTACGATCAGCACTTGAGTGACGACGACGTCGACGCTGGCGATACCGAAGAGCCCGCACCTCTTGCTCTTTTTGCCCCTGCCGCGCTAGACCTCGCTTCGAAGAAAATTGCAGCTGCTACTGGCGATCTGCGCAAGGCGCTCGATGCAGCTCGTTTGGCCATCGAGATAGTGGAAGCAGAGCAACGCAAGAAGCATGCAGCCCCGGACGCTGATGGATGGAAGAGCGAAGTAAACGGAAAGAGCTTGGCTCACCTCACGCCCAAAAGTGCGCCGAAAGTATCTCCTCAGCACATCGTCAAGGTGCTTGCTAGCGTGCTCGGCAGTCAACAGTTGAACAAGATTCGCGCGCTTAGCCTCCAACCCAAACTTGCTCTCGCTGCTATCTTGGTATGCCAGAAACGTCAGGCTGAAGGCCTTGCAGTCCTAGGCTCGGGCAATTCGGAGGCAAAGAAGTTTGCCAAGCCATGTGCCACGTCTCAGCTTGCCGACGTAGAGCTGACGTACTCAGCAGTCTTGCGCAATGATGGCAACATTTTGCCCACTCTCGAGAGCTCCGAATTCTTGGACGTGCTAGATCTTCTAAGTGTGCACGGCTTCATCGTCATGGAAGAAGCCAAGGGCTCTGGCTACAGCAGCGGCACCTTGTCGGCCGGTGCTAGACGGGCGACAAAGAAGCAACACATCGCAGCGACGAGAATTGTGCGTCTGGCCATCTCTTTCGAAGATGCGCTGCGCGGACTGACCACGGAGGGCTCTGTGAGCGGAAACGCTACATCTACTGCGGCCGCTCGGCGCCTCTGGAGCGCCGAGGAGGAACGTATCCGTCGGAGCCGCGGGTGGGAAGCGCGAGCGAAAGAAATCGAAGCGACGCGCGCCGAGGAGCTTGGCGGAGGTAGGATGGCTCAAGGATGTTTCTGAGCGTCCTGCCATCACATCGCAACGTATCGCGCAGAGAGCGTCGCCGTCGTAGCTAGCTATTTGTACACTCGTCTGCGCTCAGCGGCTTTGATAAGCCTAGCGTGAAGTTTCGTGCCTCGACACCTTCTGTTCTAGCAGCAATCACAATTATCCATGAGGTTTATAAGCGGCTCCGAATACATGACCATCATATTTACAGAACACTCCACGCCATCGTGCAGTCAGAGTGCAGCTCCTGAACAGCTCTTCGCATGCCGCTTGTCAGTGCTGCGCGACCTCGCAGCCTTGTGTAGCCACGAATGCTTGCGAAGCAAAGAAGTGGGCATTACTCGTCTCGAGACGCGGCTTTTGTACATGAGTAGTGGTAAAGTCTCATACAGCATAGACCAGGGAGCCGGAATTGATCTGGCGGCGGCCTTCATTCGAGAGGTTGCACGGTGCGTGCGGCGAGAAAGCTTGAGCTCAGGCGGTCACCGAAGTTTGTATAGCTCCAGACTCGACGCTAGCAATGATGATCTCCGATTCACTTTGCTCAGCCAAGACATGCTCGACGAGGGGCGGGCTGTGAAGAAAGAGGGGGGCGTTATTCTTGGTAAACATTGCCAGCAAGGACCCCCAAGACAGACAAGTATTGTAGCCAGCCAACTCACTCGGATGACAATTTGCTGCTAGCTTCCTCCACCGTCGTTGAAAGCTGCAAATTGGGGTCGATTGCGCTTTCCTGTTCTTCTTGCACGGTTGCATCTTCCGGAGGCGCAAAGAGTCGAGGGTCCAGAGCCGCCGATGGTACAGGGTCCACCAGAGGCAAGGCGACGTGTGCGATTGCGCGGCTTTGAGGCTCACTCGACCCATTGTCACCGCCTTCTGCAGTCTGTGCGACCGGAGCAGGCGGAGGCGGAGGCGCAGAAGCAAGAGGCTGGCTGGCTGGCCCAGAAAGATGCGGTACGTGCTGCTCGTGCTCGGTAGGGCTCTCACGTTCGTCTGGATGTAACAAAGAAGTTGAGACCACTGTGGTCGACTTGTTCCGTACCTTTGCAGTTCCAGGGGCAGGTCGCGTGCTATACTCGAGGCATCCCTTGCCCTTGTCCCAGTCGATCCAGTGCATGGCCAGAAACGCAAACGAACGAGCGCCGAGCACAACTCCGAAAGCCTGAAAGGACATTTGCGTGCAAGCGCTGGGGTCGAGCTGTGATGCCCAGACACAACCCTTTGCGCTTATCCGTTCTTCGTCGCCAAAGATGAGCCCCCACGCCGTTTCAATCACTGCGGCGACTGCTCTTCCGCATTCCGTCGGAAACCGTACCCGCACCGGCTCTGCAGCGGCAGAAGGCCCCGTTGTAGCTTCGTTGGAGTTGTGTGAGCCTTCTTCTCGCGCCCTTCGAACTATGCAGTCCAGGCTCGATTTGAAAAGCAAGAGCTGGGTGATCATCAGCAGCCGCCGAATCGATTTGGCGAGGACTGCCGCGCTAGGGTGTGATCGCTGCTGCCTTTCCGCGTCCAAAATGATGGGCTTTTGAGCGCGGCAAAAGGCGCTCAGAGCACCTTCGATATTGTTTTGGTGAGCTGTAACGCTTTCTAAGCTGGTCACTTGGGACACATCCGGCTGATGTAGAGTTCGCAAAAGGTGCTTGAGGATTTGTAGCAAACTCAAAAAGGCGCACATCAGGTGGGCCAAGAGTCGAGCTGCAGGTACGCTTGTTTCGCCCACCATCACGTACACCCAACTGGGATCTGGCATCGGCAGGCTGACAGGTGACGTCTCAGCCACGGGGTTGTCCGATGAAGCACTCCACAAAGTTGTGATCGCGTCCAGCGCCAAGGCGAGTGTACCAACCAAAGCATTGCTGCGAAGCAAAGCAGGGTTATGCAGGCCGCATGAAGGAGCAAGTCGCAGAGCTGTGCTGATGACGTGTCGGCGCTCGATTCGGCCTGGATCGCCGGGCCAGTAGACAGCGAGGAGTAGTAATGCCTGAATGAGGGCCAAATCACCCTTGAGAGAGTAGAGTGATGAGCAGACGGCCTCAACCTCCGCTGCTGCCTTCTTCCAAATGTGTGGTCGAAGAGCGACGAGTTCCAGAGGTTCCGTGACGATGGCGACTGATGAAGCCAAGATCGTGAGCAAGAGGAAATCGGGCACCGGAGCCGGCAAGCCGGGCCCACGACGGAGGATTAGATCGCTTTGAGATGGGGGCACAATCAGCGCGTGTGGGCCATTCGTCTCGGAACGAAACTTGCGCAATAGAGCGTGGACCAATCTTCGACGGGAAATCTCGACCAGTTGTCCCTTGTGTGATATCCGCGAAGGGATTCCCCAAGACGTGAACTTGACATCTTCCGCCGCCAGACGACTCGCTTCAAGGCCATTCGTGCCTGCAGCAATCGAAGTCGGTTGGGGTAAGGCTAAAGGGGAAGGCGTGAATCGCATCAGAAAAAGTCCGACGTTGAGCTCTTCACGAGGCGGCAGGAGTGCTGAACCGACCTCACTCACCGGTGAGACCTTTGGTTTTCGCACTGACGTTGCTGTTCGCTCCGGACAGAGCTGGTGTACCAGCAAGAGCAGTGGCATCCAGATCGCCGTTAGGCCAAGCCTCTTGAACGCCATCTCCAACAACAAGCTCGAAAGACACGTGCTGCTTTGGCATCGTGCTGTGCGCTAGCGTCGTGCCGGTCTCGAGCGATGCAGGTACTATCATTGGAGCGTTTCCAGAACCGTACCTGACTTCCACTTTGACACAATGTCCACCCGTCACACGACACGATGTGCAAGGCTCGTCGGATGTGGCAGGAGCATCGCACTGCGTGACCCGTGCTCAAAGCTTAGCAGCAGGAATTGTGAGTGTACAATCTCCAATTCTGGAGGGCCACTCACCCCGGATTTTGATCCTTGCAAGCAAGCCTGACAAATGATTCGACCGACCCTTGCCCTGCCGCTCAGCGACTTTAAAGCTCTGGGAAAACGAGAATGCCTGGAAGTGAGAAGATGCGGGGATAGCGGAAGGGGATGTTGCGAATTATAAGGCGTGGCGAGCATCTGCAGAGGTTCCCCTTGGCTGCCTTGAGTGAGCTGAGGGTCAATGGTGGCGCTATAATGCGATTCTGCAGAAGCGTCGGTACCGTTGATGAGCGCTTCTTGAGCCTTGAGTCTCTGTTCAACCTCTTCCAGTCTGGAACTCGCTTGGGTTCCCAGCCGTTTCCGCTTTGCTCTACTGGATGCAGCTGCTGCCGCTGTGGGTGTACGAGCACCTGGAGAGCTTGTGCCTGCTACCGAAGTCTTCAGTGAAGAGCTGCTGTGGCTGTGACGCAGCGAGTATCGCGACTTGGGAGCAGAGGAAGCGTCACTAGCGAGCGCACCTTGAGAGGAGTTGTCTAGCTTTATACCCTCGCACGTTAAGCCCACGATACCAGAATTCTGGCTCTGATTGCTAGAAGATGACTCGGCCCTTCGTCTGCTCCTCCGTGTGATTATCTTGCGGCGTGCTGCCAAGATTGGCTCGTCCGTGGAACGAGAAGGGTGAGACGAAGATTCGAGCTCGTTGCTTACTGCGCTAGCAGAGCTCTCGACAACCCTTGTATACGTCGGTGAAAAGTTTCTAAAGATGCTGTTCTTGCGCCCAGGCTGGATATCTGTCTCGTCGCCGCTGGCTGCAGAGTGAGTGATGGAAGTCGCGCTTGGCAGAGGTGTGAGAGTAGACGATCTGCTGCGTCCACTTCTCGCTCGGCGTGAGATCAAAATGTTGTTGTTGTTGCCGCTGTGTGGAGCGTAAGAAGGACTTTGCGGCGAGCTTGGCAAGAGCGAAAGCTTCGAATTGAGAGACGAAGACATTGTGAAGAGCGGAAGACGAGCTTGAAGCGGATCTAAAGAGGGGCGACCAAGGCGCTGACCTGAAGACCAGATTCTAGGCCTGGCACGGATGTTGCACGCTTGCAGTGCGGGTCGAGAGGGCGAAGCGGGCTGAACGCTTGGTGGCGACGACAGGTGTTACCGCCTACGCCTCAAATCGCCAACAAGCGAAGCGCTCTGCGCGAAAGACGTCACTGCTTGGCGATTGAGTAGAGACGGCTGGCTGAGGGGTTAGAAGGCGCAGCGCCGAATGAAGCCTTGTAATTGTGGTCGCAAGGCGAGTTGTGTATCGATAGCTCAGTGAGATGGCTGAGGCTTCGCAGTTGGTGCGCCTGAGCTCGGGCCGGGGAGTGAGAGCAGCACAATGCCTCAACAGGAGACCCCTTCAACAAATGCGCTTCGCGGTGACTGAATGGTATCAAGCAGGTCACAGGTACTCAAGGGAGACGCGGCGGCATGCGACGAAAGAGGAGAGGAAACGCGTGGATCTGAGTGAGGTACGCAGGGTACTCTACACGCAGCGCGGAGGGGAGAATCTTGCGCGCGACAGTCGTGAACGGTCCACCCACCTGCTCAGCGTCGAGAGCTTTCTGATCAAACGTCAAGACGACCTCTTCGACGAGATGGCGCCGACGCTCACGAGTGATGATGGCTATGCGGCCAACAGAGTCTGCCGCTGGTACCCAACCGTGGCTGCGATGAGGCGCGTATACGGACACTGCTTTGTGAGACCTGCCGCCACGCGTTCATTAAAGCTCGTAGTTGGCGAGTTTGACGAAGGAAAAAAAAAGAAGAGGAACCAATGCGGAGCTGGGGTGCGCGGCGCACGCTGTTGATGCCTCGCAAAACAAGAAGCGTCAGAGTGAATGCCGCGTATATTGCGAGAGCGCCACCTTGATTGTCGATGTTGCGCCATGCAGCAACGCAAGAGCAGCGAAGCACGCGGCTACCAAATCTGAACGCTCGATCTGCCATTCGCCCCGAGCAGTCTGCGCATACCTTTCCGGCACAAAGGTGGCGACCCTATGGCGTCGAAGCGCAGCTTTCTCATATAAGTCTAGCTGATACTCATGGCGCGCTGAAAAGTTGCTTGAAGCCTTTCTGCGCCCCGCGGGGGGAAACACATCCTACTGCGAATGTCCCAGTGATACAGGTGTCATAGCTGCGCCGCTTCACCTGGATCAGGAGTAGTAATTAGTAGTGCTATTATACCTGCACGTCCTTTGCTGGCCAGAGTCATGCGTGACCGACGCATCTGCCATATTCATGGACGAACCATGGCTGTGCCAATTGATTCGAGCCCAAGCCGTGACTTTGACTAATAGCTGTAGCTCTGACTGTGACTGCAGTGGCGGGTGTATTTCGAACATACGGCGTATAGCGCGACCGATGAGCCGCTGGCGGTGGACACCTTCTTTGACCCTCTTCCGCCTGCTGGCCTAGGAAAAGGAAGTCAAATGCGGACGCGCCTTGTGCTGTGAGATTCTTCATCCAAAGAATGACGAGATGCAGCATGGGCGCAAAAGCCCCTTTTGCACCCGGTTTTGTGACCACGCGTACAGGTCGTGCCTCAAGCCAAGACAACACCGCCTCCATTCCTCTGGAGCAGATCCATTCGTTGTGAAGGAGCGCACTTGCTGCGTGCTGCTGATGTCTACCTCGGGCGCAGCAAATGAAAACGAGG